CTTCCGAATCTCCGAGGACAAGAACCCCGACTACAGGAAGCGTGTGTCTGTGGAGCTCACCAACTCCCTCTTCAAGCACGACCCCACAGCCTGGGAGGCGGTGAGTATCCCCTGAGGCACGGCACTAAGCCCTGCCTAGCCTGGAGAAACAGGAACCTCCTGGGAAAGCTGCACTCTGCCTCTAAAAACTGCCACTGCCGCCGCCTCCTCCTCCTGCTAGAGCTCCCAGGGGAGCACGTGGCTGGAAGTGGGAGGTGGCTGCAGCCCCGGCTCCAGCAGCCCTGGGTCGCGGTACCTGCTGCCTGCCCTCCTGCGGCCACGGGCTGGGGCTGAGCATCACGTACTCGCTGAGCATCGTGCACACGCATCCCCCTCTTAAACTGTCACCTTCTTTCGCAGGCTCAGAGCATGATCCCCATCAACGAGCCCTACTCAGATGGTGAGTTACAGCGCGAGCTCTTCCAGCAGGGTTCCCCCCATTCAGGCTCTGCGCTGGCAGGCCAAATGCATCTTCTCACCAAAGTCGAGCTGATTTTAAATGCTCTCGACAAGTTGTCTTGGGCAGCTGCCAGTGACGTGCCAGCCAGGCCTGCCTTGGGATGCTCAGCCTGTCGCTTGTGTGGGGCTGCCCCAGGCCACCGCAGGGGGTGGCTCCTGCGTGGTCCTCCAAGGTCCTGGTGGATGGGGCCAGCCAGGGGTGGGCAGTGGGCATTGAGGCTAAAAATAACCTGCAGGTGCCAAGTGACCTGCTGCATGCCTTCATATCTGAGCGTACTCGAGCCTTGCACCCCCTCTGCGCTCCTCTTTGTGCCTGGGCTGGCCTGGAGGTTTGGGGCAGGTGGACGGCGAACGGCGGTCGCGTCCCTTGCAGCGCTGCCGGGGACTGGGAGGGTGGATGAGTCCTGGAAGAGTCTGTCGCCAGCGGGAGCTGAGGTTGTTCCATATCCCTTCTCCCCCGGCAGAGCTGGACCCCGGCTACCGCCCCATGTACTCGGGTGACATCCCCCTGGACCCCATCGACATGCACATGGACATGGACGGTGATTACCCCATGGACGCCTACAGCGACGGCGTCCGGGCGCCCTTCGCTGACCACATGCTCGCCTAACCTGCCCCTCAGGCCCCGCACCAGGTAGAGGCGATGCGTGCGTTTGTCGGGGTGCTGGGTGCTTATCGCCAATGCGCTCTTCCCTGGAGCGGGATGGGGGCCGGCGCGGAGCTGGGGCACGGCGAGGTCGGAGCTGCTCTCTGGACCCTGCTGAGCCGCTGCTGCTCCGGGCG